TTTTTTTTTTCAACCCTGCTTTTATTTTTTTCGACGTAATTTCGAGTGTTCGAAATTACTAGAAAAAAAATTAGGGACAAGCCCGCGAGGGCTAGTTATTTAAGTTAAACAATGTCAAAAAAAAATAAGAGGCTAGATATTTTTATATTATTTTCAACATTTATTTAATACATGCTTCGCCGCACGTTGTCCACATTATTTTACATCTAATAATAATGGAGTTTCATGCAATTTACCCTGTTTTCTACAAAATATTGTATATATATATATATTAGTATAACTAACTATAATTTATCTGTTTCTATTCATATTTTTTTTAATTTTTATTATTTCTTTTAATAGGTCACTGTTTTCTTCGTAATAGATATTTTTTTCAGTTATGCTTGCTATTTTTTTGAAATCATAAAAGTCTAATAATTTTTTACCTTTTAAAGAATATGTATCAAAAAAAGGTATTATTTTATTAAGTATATCATAAAATTTATATACAACATAAGAAGATTGAGTTGGTCTAGTTTTTACTGTTTCCACAAAACCACAATTGAAATAAGTTGCTAGGTTTTCGAGTAAAGCTAAATCACGTTTGTGCTGTGATATAGAAAAATAAACATTTACTTTATATGTAATACCTAGGCCTTTCTTTATTTTGGAAGTTTTTACATAAAAACAACCCTCACCATCAACAAACCCAGCTACTCAAAAAGGATTAAAATCTTTTGTAGGTAAAACTAGGTTTCTTACTGTGGGCTGTATACCAGGAAATATACTTAGTAAAGTTTTTGACAATCCTTTACCCATAGAAGCTTTGTATGATAATATCTTGTTTAAACCTTCTTCATTCTTATGCTGATTATCGTAAAGCATATGTACTACTAATGAGAATAAACGAAAATCTTCTTTTTTTTGTGTTAATAAATTATATTGATTAAAATGAGGTAAAATTACGTCTTTTAACGCACTAATAGATTGTACTGAATATATTGCTGTTGGACTCCCTTTTTTTATTCTCTTAATGATAGTACCTACTACAAAGAAATTTTTAATTTCTTTCAATAAATTATAATCTTTTTCATGTAGTTCTATGGAAAAGATGGGTGCGATACGTATATTTTTAAATCTACTTTCGTCTTTTCCAACTCTTATGGAAAAGCTAGACTTCGAATCCGCCAACCCTGTAACTCAGTAAGGATTAGCCCGTTTTGGTCTATTAATAGTGGAGTATAATCTTTTTTGTTTAAATTCTTTTATAACAGAACACTTAGTTGTAGAGTAAACCTTTGAATTATCTAATTTATATAACATTGAAGAGCATAAATAAGGTTTTACTATAGTTCGCAGTAAAGACATAGAATTTTGTCTTATATAAATCATGTACTCAACTTTTTTATTTCGTTTTTTTAAAAATATTGTACATTCAAACCCATATCTTACCATTAATACATTCATCAATCTGACAACATCTTGTATTGAGTAACAATTAGTACATAAAATAAGACCATGGTGTAACGCTTGACCATCCCCCATTATTAGATGAGCCAGAGCAACGGGTGTTAATAGATCATATATGTTTTGAGGTATTACTTTTACACCTTTAGGGTAAAATAGAGAATGTAATTCAGTAAAACAAGTAAGAGAACGGGTAAAAAACCCTAAAGCATAATTTATCTTATCTACTCTTACACTAGTTGTTAATTTTGGACCTGTATTACAATAATGAGATAAAATATTAAATACAAATCAAACATAAATATTATGAGATAATGATTGCTTAAATCCTAATCGTACATAATTACTTTTTTTAGATGGGAATATAAGTCAACCATCAGATAAAAGCAATCCAATGATAACGCTCTTTTGATACAGTGGCAATTTTATCATACTATTTTCTTGGTTTGTAATTCTACCATTACCTACGGAAGAATTTAAGTTTATTCCCCATACTACTAAGCTTAACTGGTTATTAGTAAAACTTCGCTTATTACTAAAATGTTTAACTCCTTTTGTGAAAGCGTCGCAAAACCCTGTTATTCAATTAGGATCCATTTTGTTAGATTTATTTGAATAAGATATACCTTTTTTTATATATATACTATTTTTAGTAGGGGCTATAATTAACCCTGTTCCAAAGTAGAAACATGATCCAAAAGCTCCATCTGAAATAGTGAATGATGATACTGAATATTCAACACCTTGTAGTGCTGTGAATATAGTTGCTAATATAATAGTATATGCTAAACCATTTAAAGCTTTAGCTCTTTTTCCGTTAATTAAATAATGATGTGCATATGTAACAGTAAACCCTGAAGCCAATAAAAGCACTGTATTTATTAACGGTAATTCAAAAGGATCAATAGCTTCAATTCCTAAAGGAGGTCATGTAGCACCTAACTCTACTGCAGGTGAAAGAGCACTCGTTTTAAAAAACTATTTGTTGCTTTGTTTATAGAAAAGAACATGATAAGTTTTTAAATTTTTAATTTTATACAAGACTATGTTAATATTTTCTATTTTTATTCATACTTCCTTTTATTTTCTTAATTTGGTCTAGGCCCTCTCGAGTTAAGTGTTGTTTATTTTTAATAAGCAAAGCCGCTTTTTTGAAATCCTCATAATTCTTGGATTTTACACCATGTAATTTAAATTTTTCAAAAATGGGTATCACTTTATCAAAAACATCTGTAAATTTTTCAACTATAAATTCACCATAACCTGATTTAGGTATATATCTACCACAATTTAAAGTTGAAATTAAACTTTTTAGGAACTCTTCATCTCTAACATGTTGAGTTAAAATAAATCTCAATCATACAGTTTCCCCTAACTTAGATTCTGGAGATTTTTTTAATGCTATAAAGAAACATCCTTCAGCATCAGTGAAACCAGCTAACCAGTGTAGACTTTTTATATTTCTATCTTTAATATTTGGTCTTAAAATAGGCTCTATATCAGGGAAAGCTAGATTTAAGCTGTCTGACATTCCTTTATTGTTCATAACAGCTTTAATTGACATGATTTTATTTAAACCTTGTACAGTTAAATGTCTTCCTTGTTCCATATCATTTACTACTTGCTTAAAAAGTAGATAGTCAGATTGTTTATTGGTTAATAAAGGGTATTTATCAAAATGATCCATAATAACTTTTAAGTTTTCAAAACCAGATACTCTAAATTGAACAGATTCCGCTCCTAATTTAGATATTGTACCTACACCAAAAAACAATTGAATTTGTTCTAATAAGGCAAGATCCCTTATGTGTACACCAATATGAAAAACAGCTTTTACTCTATAGGCCATTTTATATCTAGGGTTAGAACTAACACCTACATAAAAACATCCTTCCCCGTCAGTAAAACCAGTTACATAATAAGGATTTAAGCCATTAGTGGAAGCATAATTAAAGTTAGAAGACATTGCTTTACTAGTACCCGAGGGGGACTGACCTTTAGGTCTGGCCCTTGAAGGGGACCATTCCCAAAGGGTAGAATAAGAAATTTTAGTATAGAATCTTTGTATAGATTCAAAAAGAGTATTAACATATTTTATTCATTGTATAAAAACCCAATTTCTCAGGCACCTAGAGTATACCTTACAGTATTTAAAAAATACTGAGGAACCGTCTACTCGTTGCTCTTTTACAGATATAAGACTATCTGATTTAGATCCGCGATTGCCCATTCCTTGATTTGTATCAAGAATCTCTAATGATGTTACTGTACCCTCAGACATTAATGGGGCCACTTTATAAGTTTCCTTATGAAGATTAGTTATTAGAGTTTTAGGGTTTTCCCGGAATTTGGTTCCTATCCACAAAGTGCTTAGTCTATGGAAAAATGCTCAGAATATAGCTAAGAAGAATAAAGCTTCAGATACTATAAATAAACCAACACCAAGATTTAACCCTCTTTGGACAGCCAAGGTGTGATGACCTATATATGTCGAAATTACCCAACGTGCCTCCACGTTGGTTGGACTATATCATAGTTAATGGGTTAACTAAATTACAATTAACGTATTAACTTTTTACGTGTAGTCTCTGAGGATTCTACTAAGATATTTATCCGTCTTTTGGTTTCCTGCTGATTATTCTATTCTTTTCTGATAGAAACTTTCAGCATACAGTAAAATTTAAAGAGGGCACATAATAAAGCAAATACTGTTTTTTTTTATAATTTTCCAGCTCCGCAGCCCCAGCCGTCTAGACGGCGCCCGGGGTTATTAAAGATCTAAATTTTAATCTTCCTTCATCGGTAAGATGTTCTTTTTTGATAAGCATATTATAAACAATTTCTCATTTCTTAAAATCATTTAATTTATCCCCTATTAACGGGTATTTATTAAAATAATTAACAAGAAATTTTACACTTTCTAAAGATGATACACTTACAGTTAATATTTCTGAGTTTGTATTATTAGTATAACTTTTAAGATTACAAGATAAAAATAAGGCTAAATCTTGCATAAAAGGTTTCATAGAAGAAGATGTCGGTTTATCAAATAAACGCTGATTCAAAATAAATTTAAGAGTAACACTTTCACTAACAGATCTTTTACGAGTATCTGATTTAGTTTTTCTTTCTAGATACTTAATTCCAAAATGTCCGTCAGACTCCGTAAAACCTGTAAATCAACTATTACCAAAAAGATTAGAGTTATCAAATAAACTTTCTGGTGTATCCAAAGAATATTTAGCATTCATAAATTTAATTAAATCATTAAACCTTATATTTTTAGGTGTTCTAAGTTTACCGTGCATTAAATTAATAAAAAGCATAATACCTTTTATATCTCCTATAATATAACGAATAGCGTTATTGCCTGAAGCTTGGAAACGCCCTATATTACCTAATTCTGATTGAATAAAGGCATACATACCCAAATTATTAATATGTGAAGTAAATACTATTCTAGGATTTAATACTCTATTTAACGTTGTAACACCTAAAGACGGAAGAGAAATATGACCCAGAGGATATAAATATGTATATTAGATAATTTTTTTAATTATAGAAGGTAACATATAAGGTTTTATACTCATTAATAAAGTATTTAATGAAGAACGATAAATATATATACTGTGTTTATCTTTTTCTAGTATTAAATTACAACGTAATCTATATTTGATCATTAATACATTTATTAATTTAACGGAATCGAATATGTTGTTAAAATTAGTATAGAGTTTTATTCCTCTTCCTTGTAAGCTTATACCACTACCCATTACTCAATGAGCTAAAACAAAAGGTGTCAATAGATCATATATATTGCAAGGCACCCTTTTTACATTTTTGATATAAAACATAGAATAAATTTCAATAAAACAGAACAACCATTTTGTAGATATTAACATAACATCTACTGGTTTACCTTTCAGGTTATTATTAAAACGGTAAGGGTCTTTTTCACAATACATATAAATTTCTCTAAACACGTAATAAATATATTCCTTATTAACATAAGGTTGACAGAATTTAATACGTGCTTTTGAATTTGTTTTACGGTGAATATTGGCTCAACCTTCTGATAAGAGTAAACCAATAAAAATGCTATACAAGTACGGAGGTATTGCGTGCTTAATACAAATTTCTTTTAGAGGTTCTTTATAACAAAAAACAGCTGTAGAGGGAAGGTTTTTTATACATATAGCCCTTGTAGATGAAATATCTTGCAAAGGCTCAAACTCTCTTACTTTTTTATTTGGCTAGATATGCTAGATTGTGTTATTAATTTATACTTCATACTAGGTACAATGTAGGGATTTATAATGGATGACAATAAATCCATAGACTTTGAACTAATAAATATTCTAGGTTTGTTATCCACCATATGTAATGTACATTTAAGTCTGTATTTAATGATTAACACATTAACTAATCTAACTACATCTTGCACAGTAAAAGAATCAGTACAAATTCTTATACCACCAGATACAGCAGTACCGTCAGCCATAATAAGATGAGCTAGAGAAACAGGAGCTAATATACGATAAATATTCTCAGGGACAATTTTTTT